GTGATCTGCATTCAAAGTGGACAAAGTGGGGATGGGGTGGATTTTAATAATTATTAGGGGAGTGGATTACAGCCTGCGGGGATGCTGAACAAAGTTACAGAAGTCGTGCTCACACGTCTGATATGAAGGGCGAACCATAAATCCTTAAACTCAGGGTTTAGGGTTTAGGGTTGAAAGGTCAACCCCATTATGCCGCAGATCAAATGGAAAAGAGCATGGAAGATGAACTGGACAGCCCTCCAGGAAAAATTACATGATTACGGTTGGTGGCTAAGCTCAAAATGCAAAACCCAAAGAGCCCAAATCATGTCAGGGTTTAGGGGTGTAGGCTTACGGCCGAATTTTTGGGGATTTCCCAAATTAATTGTCCTTTTCGAAGGGCTACATGTGCAAAGGACCACAATATCTGGGGTCTATATTAAGGTCCCCGCCGTCACCCTGAACCATAAACTGTGTTAAACCCAATTAGGCACTATACTAAACCCGACACTCTAAACTCTAAACCCTAAACCCTAACCTAAACCCTGAAGTACAAGAGGTACCCTGAGGTTCACTGTTGAGGTTCCCTTAATAAGGCTAACATTGACAGTAAGTCCTGTGAGGGGTGGTCGCTGACATGATGATTACAACGGAGCCGCTGATCTTACTGGTAGCTAGTAGGGAAGAACGGGATATAATCCCTATATATAACCCGGATATGGTATATTCCCTTATTCTGTGCTGACCCCAGTAAGTCATTTGGTACGTCCAAATCTTCGGAGGTTCTCTTCGGAGCCCTAAATTGGCAATTGCTTGGCTTCATACAGAGGCTAAACCCCACGCCCTAAACCCCTAAACCTTAAACCCATAGACCCTAATCCATAAACCCCTAAACCCTATTCTTCAACCCATAGACCCTAATCCATAAACCCTTAAACCCTACACCTTAAACCTTAGACCATCTCATCAGTCTCTGCCTCGTCCTCTGCAGAGTCAGCCACAGCATTCTGCTCCTTGCTTTCTTGCTGGTGTCTTCCCGGTCGCAAGGCAAGGGCTCAAAACTACAACCAATCAGAGATAGACGTTAGGAGGACCCCCTGTAATAGTGGTATAATAGGAATATAAGAGAACCCTAATATACTCACCTTTATAGGGATTAGGGTTTAGTTGTGACACATTACAAAAAAAAAAGTACCAATCACTCAACAGCATGGCACACAACAGTAGGAGCTGCTTGCACCATGCATCCCTAAACCCTGAACCCTACACTTCAGAAGGGCAGTGCAGCCTCGACCCTAGCTTTCTAGTAGTGGTCTTTGCAACTGTGCTATGGTCTAAACTCCTTTAGGGGGGGAGGTTTATAGGGGATTTTACGGTTGTATAAGATTATATAGGGTTTAGTGTCTGAATTCCTGAAAGGGGCTTAT